CCTGTTTTGAAGAGAGAAACCGTCAGTTAACGACATACCAGAATTTAGCGACAGATACATGTGTTTGTTCTTTTAAATATGATTTGGTTTTTACCAAGCACCAATGCAAAATCATCATCATCACGGAGGATAAAATCGATTTATTATACTCTTAAAACACAAGCCATGATCTTTTCTCTCAGGAAAACCTCCTGGGGTCTCCTAAAGCAGAATGTATCAGTGAGGGCAGGATTACGGATCAATGACCATGAATTGCAAGTGACCGTGCCTGATTTTGGCAGCGTTATTAGAGCCGGCGCCTGGCCTGCAGCTACACCCTTTTATTAAGCGCAGAATGAGTCGTTGGCATTGGTTTACGATACTTTCACTGGTCCGTGTGTATTCATCACGTCTTTATTTTGTCTCCTTCTGTTCTTCTCCTGGTGGGGGTACCCACGATTACGGGGACTAGTGGCTACATGTCAACTAGGAAACGACGCTAGTAGCTGGGGGACAAGCAGCCGCCTGTTCTTCTTTCCTCTGATGGGCTACAGCAATGTCTCATTTAACTGGACTCGATAGACAAGAGGTAGGCACCAGAGCTAAAGCGTGAGAGTCGGCGAGGGGGGGATAAGAGATATTTCGCCATGAAGAGGCTACATTAGGTTCTCTCATAGTCTTCTTATTCCTGTCCTCCGTCCGTCCCTGCTGTGCAAAATTGGAAGGGGATCCTGCCACCATCATGGCCAGTATCTCTCCACGACGCGTCCCTATATCTCCTCGACTCCTCTCTTCGGCCGCGTCGGTCCAAGCGCTCAGGGACTTTTATATATATATGATATCATTTGGGCTTCCTCCTTGGTCAGTTTTCGCTGCTGACTGCCATAACCAAGTGGCCCTTACCTATATCAGTGAACAGCTGGTGGCCAAAGGGCACTGGAGGGAGCAAGGAAACCCCGATTGCATCGTTGCGTGTGTGGAGGTGATGCAGGTGGAGGTGGATGATTTTCACACGCGCCAATTGGGACGTCGCATTTCCTCTGGAGGCGTGTGAAACGACGTCCCTGCTCTGTGTGTGAACGACGCAAGCTCGCTTACGTGCTGGGGCACGTCTGTATTTGTTTGTGTTACCACACTCTCGCTCGCGCTCGCTCGCTCACGCACTGACATATGATGTTCGATATTCACTTAGCTGTTTGAGGATCGCGGTGTTTGCGGCTGCCTCGAATAAGATCAGACGAGATCATGGGCTCGGATCGCAGCCGGGGGACTGTGAAACTGGGACAGGTCTTCTCGCATAATACGTCTCTACAGGGCTAGAAGTCGGACAGCTCCGAGTTCGGCTTTCTTCTTTTTCTTTCGTGCTGCTGCTGCTGGGGTAATAACATGACAGTACGAACACCTGCTTTGAGAGCTCACCATGATCTGATCTTCGCTGGTACTATCTCACTGAGATGTTGTTTATTATGGGCGGAGAAAAAATTAGCACAACTTTTGGTGCATACTGACATACTCACTCTATCTCGCGCGAGTCGGCATGTGCACTCGGTTGGGCCATTTATAAAGCATGCACACGTGTTTCATCAGATTATTATAGTACACAAGTACGATGTTTTCTATAATAGAAAGTACGCCTTGCGATATCTTGTGGTGCTTGCACCAAATACTAGCTAAAAGAATTTAGTAGCTTACAAGCTTATTGTTATTGCAACAGATTAACATGTACTGAGGCACGAAATGAGACAAAAGCTTTGAGGCATAATACCATGTGTGAGCTAGCGGCATATCCCCTGCTAGATGTGCAGTACTTCCTCGCTTAGCATGTACACCTCCCCTAAGGTAGTGGAATCAGTGCAGATATAGATATAGAGTGATTTGACATGATGACATTCAACAGTGAGGGTATTCAGGTTGTCATTGGTAGCTCGCCATCGCCGGCGCTCTGTACATGGGTGTAACACCAGAAGCTCAGTGTGTGCGCAGTCCAGGAATCAGAAAATCCGAATCCACAATCAAGGGTATCGATCAAAAACCCAGCTTGCTGTAATATAACAGCTTAGTAAACATTGCATATGATGAACGTGCTGTCATGAATTTGCTCTACACATGATGCATCAAATATTATAATCAGGTATATTACTAGTCGCGGTGTAGGCGGCTGTAAGTAACCGCTCAGATGTAATACATATATATGGATATTCATTTCATGTAAGATACTGCTACATCTGATGAATAATTAATGGGGAAAACAAACTGTTTTGAACATGGAAATGAGGGGGGGAGCTCGCTAATTCCTACATGCCATACTACGATTAAAAATTACACACAAACTGAACGACAATCACTAATCTGTTTGCTCCGGAGACAATATGTGGCGAGTTTCAAATCGCAGACGAGCACCGTTATACAGTTTAAACATTTAATGCTCAAAACATTGTATTTAACGAAATAGAATGCTAGTGCTCTATTATCCACTGTATAGTAATACACACTTATATAGCCCTACTGTAATATCAACCATAATGCATATTAGCAAAATTTAAGCTGAGTCTCAAAAGAGTAGTGTGGCTAACACACACGAGGCCGCAGGCATGCAGGCAGCAACTTAGCATGTAGCATGTAGCCGTGTTGCTTCACTCACCGAGGGAAAAATAAAACCAATGAAAACTCCCGCGTTTCCAAAGCAGCTCGCAACCTCCAGCAGACAGCCTCAGAGATTGGTCACGCCGCCCCGGTAACTCTCAATTTGCGCTGTTTTTTGCATATGATGATCAAAAGTGTCTCCGTTCTTCCAGCGTGACGCTGCTCCCTCACACACACGTCTTCAACGTGTCCTCACTAACCTGAGTGAGGAGGTGGGACTTGGCGGATTTTAGTCCAACGGCAATCATGATTGCATTATGAACCAATAAGCTTTGTTAACCTTGTAACCTTGGTTTATCCAGTGGGTTACATACAGTAAATGCAGGCCATTTACCATTCAAATATATTTTTAGAACCCTATTAAAGAACACAATAAAAACTGAGAAATCCTTATAAATGCCTCCTCGAAATAAAACTTCTAGGGAAAAATGTAGAGAGGTTTGCTCTTGTTCATGTTAACTATCAAAGGAGATTTTCTAACCTGTCACATACTGTATGTTCGCATTATGTTAATTAAAAAAGTCTCAAATCGAATAGTCTGAATTGTAGGCCTTATCTTAAATATTATTTTCACAGGTCTCAAATTATTTTGATCATGAGCTCATTGTTATATATTTAAAGAACTGCATTAGTTCTGATCACGCATTGGAACAAATGACCATTAAATCAAGCTGTGAGCACACAGTGTGATGTGATGGTTTATCCGTTCTTTAAAAAAACTAGTTCCTGTTTATAAAACCTTCGTCTACTACAGGTAAGTGCAAGTAAAACACAATCTGGTTTGAGAACAGTGCATTGAGAATTGGAACTTTAGGTATAAATGATTGTAGAAGCTTCGAAAGTAAAAATCATAAAGCTGCCACAAAACCCCCCAGCTGATGCCTCGCATGGATAGAAAACACAGTCTGGCCCCCGCCGGCCTCTACTGGAAGAATGTCAACACCTCCCAACAGCGTTTGGATCTATGCCAATTCTGGATTTTGCGCAAGGTAGCTAGATCAGTCCAACAGAAGA